TATTTGAGCTTTCCTCTTTATATTAAAATCAAAAATTACTCAATAAATTTACATAAAATTAGGATTCAGTCCAAACAGTATTATTGTAACTAACAAGACAAATTCAGACATATCTCTGCAGAAGCTTATGATATTAGAATGATATGTATCAAAATTTAGCTTTTAAAGCCAGGAATTTGAAAATTTAGTTAGTTAATTTTTACCAAATTTGACTTAATCCTCATTTCAATATGATGGATCACAAATATAAACTGTATGAAAGGAGGATTTCACCAAAGACGAGTGACAAACGCTAATCTTTGCATTTGAAAATCAAACCTGTGAGAGTCACAAATCTGCTCAAATTCACATTTTTTACATCTGTCAAATTGTTTTGTAGCAATYGATGCAAAAGAGAGTCATGCGGAATTTGAAACTTTTTTATGATTAAAAAAGTCATGAAATGATGGCGTGTACGTAACTTATAAAAGATGATATGTGGGGGAAAAAATCAATCAATCTCCTCTCAGAGTTATTTTTCATCATTTGTGAATTATTCCAATTCCAACATATTTATTTACTGTAGAACAACATGACTTCCTTCCAAATTGACTTCCTTTAGTCAAAAATCACTTGTTTCTGCTTCTTCATTCATACCTCTCAAATTCTTTACCCACCCCTTGTTTTTTTTCTCTTGCTTCATTATCACATCAACTTGTCTTTGATTGCTTACTTCTCACTCTCAWACTGCTCAAACTTCTTTTGTGCACTTGCCCCTGCCCCCCTCCCCTTCTAGTGTAAAAATYCAGTGCCACTCGTATTTCATTAGGTATAATTGTCTTGGTGACTAGAGCACAGTGTATCATAAAACACTTTTTAGCCGTAAACAAAAGGCAACAGCTAAAGAGGGTGGCAGAGCATAGTTAATAGTGGATTAATCTTCCACAGAGTCTCCATAAAACTTCATCATTATAACATAGTGGGTGGCCATAAAACACTGTCTATGAAGAACACGGTTGCAACTGTGACAAGGATTCAGCCAAGAAGGAAAACGATGGAGAAGCAAAAATGTATTTTGGCTCATATTCAATTTCTATTAGGATATCTGATGCCGTATGACCCTATGCTCAGGGCTGGACTGGCCATCTGGCGTACCTGGGCCAATGCTCATTTATGGGCCAGCCCTGGTCTGTCATGGACCAAAGTATATATTATAAACATTTTTTGTCAATCSCGATGGCCTATTGGTTGATTTTCATGATCAACATCGAGCTAAGCCAATGAAATCTCTCAGCACTCCTTGGCCAGCCCGGAAAGCCCCTCCCCTTTTCGACCAAAGTTATAAATCTTGCCATTAGAAGCTGCTGGGCCGGAGTTGTAAAGAAGGAACCTGTGGACAAAGCATGTCGAGAAGCTGGGGTGGGGGG